AAGAAATAGGACCTTGTTGGACATGGTACGGTCCATGATGAGTTATTTGATATTACCTATATCTTTCTGGGATATGCTTTACAAACTGCATGTTATCTTCTGAACAACGTGTCAACAAAGTCAGTTCCTAAAACTCCTCATGATTTGTGGACAGGCAAGAAGACATCCTTGAACCATATTCACAAATGGGGATGTCCTGCACATGTCCTGGACAAGGAAGCGAATAAGTTGGAAGCATGTTCAGAAGTGTGCATTTTTATAGGTTATCCGAGAGGGACGACAGGGGGTTATTTCTATAACCCCAAGGAAAAGAAAGTTGTGGTTTCAACGAATGCAACATTTCTTCAGGAAAGTTACATGAACGACTTTAAGCCTCGTAGCAAAGTGATGCTTGAGGAAATGTCGAGTGGCTTAGTCATAACGACAGTTCCTTTGGAAACCGACCGAATCAGGGTAGAAAAGGAAACCCAACAACAACCTAAGGGGCTTCGGCATAGTGGGAGGATCATACATGAACCTAAGAGATTCATGGCTAACGGGGAGACCTTTTTGGCAGAATCTTTGGAAACCAATCCCTTTCTTTAAAACATTTTCAAGGTCGAAATCCTTTTTGAAAACAGGCTCACAAGGAAAAGGGATAGAAATCCTCCCTCGCGCTATCAACCCTGAGACTAGCGTTGCCTTTTCCGGCTTCCGCTTCCTCAAGCCCCTTCAGTCTGAATCCTCAGCGATCACTGATGCAAGACAACACTTTAGGATCAATTCTCATTCCTAAAGCAATCCAAGTCTCATTTATGTACTAAGATTTTCAATTAGTGTGCCCTAATCCATTTTCATGTTTCAAAATATCATTCCAAGGGTTTTCAATCTCAAATCAAGGATTAAAGATGCTAATCCAGTTATCTCAAGTCCCCAAATGAAGCTAATTTGGGTTCTCCCCAAAAACAGGGATCAAAACAGCAATTTCAGGCCAAACATGGTCAAACCCCATGTCAACCGGTCGACCGGTGACAGAGCAATGCAACACTACCGGTCAACCGGTAGTGTGCACACCGATCGACCGGACCGGTCGACCGGTCAGCCTATAATTCGGTCGACCGCATTGGTCGACCGGTTTCCATGTGATCCGGTCGACCGGTGGAATCAGCTGCGCGAGAGAAACTCGCGGAAATCAGTCCAAAACCTGCAAATCCAGTCCCAAATTGAGATATTTCAAAGGAAAACCACTAGATCTGGGTTCTAGGTCCTAAAACAAGTCCAAAGAACCCAAGATCTCCAATTTCTACTTTAGTTTTACTCAAAAACCATCAAAATCCGGTTTGAACTAAAAATAA